ACTTCGTTTCGAAATGTTTAAACTTTATTAAAAAAGAGCAATTCTTTTTTTATTATTTTATAAATTAAAACATTTATTTAATTGGTTTTTATTTAAAAAAAAAATCGTATTTCTGATACAAAAAATTAATAGAATATTCGAAAAATCAATTTTATTTTCACTATATATTATCTTCAAAAATTCGGTTTAAAATTTTTTAGTATTTTCATATATACTAACTATTTCGCCTCCTCCTCTAGGCCGCCATACGTCTCGACGAGGCACCAGCAAAAATCAATCACATCAAAGACCAACAGGAACAATGCGAAGTGAAGCTGGAGAAGGAGCGCGACTCGCTCGCCGCACTCATGTTCGAGTTGATCACCAAAGAGGACGTCATCGTCCAATGCATACGCGACTATGTGCTGTACCAGCGTAACTACCACGAGCGTGCACTGCAGAAGGTSAAYTCATCKCTCGCCTCCATACAGGATATTATACAATCGACAGCGAAATCGCGCTTCGGCACGTCACTAACCGAGCACCTGGAGTCGACRAATCGTGAGATATCATACATTTTAGAGCTCTGCATTTGCTGCCTCATCGAGAACGGACTCTATGAGGAGGGTTTGTTGCGTGTGGGTTGTGCAAGCACAAAATTGCGACGCATGAAACATGCGCTCGAAGCACAATATGTGAAGACKCCACTGCCGGTGGAGTATCAGGATCCGCATGTGATTGGTTCGATACTCAAGTTGTATTTGCGTGAATTGCCGGAACCCTTACTCACCTATAAATACTACAAAGACTTTATTAGCGCGACGGAATGTGGCAGTGAAGCGGAGCGGAAAGCTGCCATCAAGGCYACGCTGGCCAAATTGCCGTCGTCGAATTATGCAAATTTACGCTATCTGACACGCTTCCTCTGGCTGGTYACACAAAATGTCGACCAGAACAAAATGAGCTCGCAGAATGTGGCGATTGTAATGTCRCCGAATATGTTGTGGCCGCGTATGGATAAAAGCAATCCGGCCGACTACCTGGGGCAGGTGAACAGTTCATCGGCTGTGAATGTGATTGTGGAACTGTTGATTAGTCAGTGGGATTACTTTTTCGAAGGAGATGTAGACTTTTTTGTGACGTTGTCGCGTAATAAACTCTTTGTGGAAGGTAAAAGCAAATCTGGCTCGTCCAATGAAAATTTGGACCGGAATGACACGGGTGAGTGTGAAAGAAAGTGAAGGGGATAGAGGAAGGAAGTGAGAGGCAGAGARATAGATGAAGGGAGAGAGAGAGATRAGGWGAGACASAGAGTGATTGATGTTGTGGTGAAAAGMGTGAAGAGAAGACAGATTGGAAGAGAGGGTGGGATCAGATAGATGGAAAGCTAGTGGGCGGGCGAAAGAAAATGAGGACAGAAAGTAAAATATTTAGAGAGATAGAGAGATGTATACACATCGAGAAAGAGAGAGAAAGAGGAGAAAAAGAGAGATAGAAAGAGAGAGAAAGAGGAGAAAAAGAGAGATAGAAAGAGAGAAAGAGGAGAAAAAGGGAGATAGAAGGAGAGAAGGAGGGAGAAGTATAAAGATGGAGAGAGAGATACAGAAAATCCTTAAAAAAATTTTGGAATACTTATAAATATGAATTCCTTTATTGTAACCACAAAGTATTTCCAAAATAGTAATTCATTAGAATGCTATTTTTCTATAAACAAAGTCTCGCTTTAGCTTTCTTTCAACAATTTTACGACATTATAGTATGTAATTTTAAAAACATTTTCATTTTAACCTATTATAACAATTTTCAGATTCTCTTGAGAGTCCACGTTACGGTACCATTCGTCGCCAAAAGGCTTGCGCGCCCTCCCCGCCAAGTGCCGCCAAAGTTGTGGAGAAACTCCACACCAATCATGAGTCACACCGAAACGGTGTTAAAGAGCTCTTCCCGAATGCAGCTACATCGACAACAACAACTACAATAGCAACCACCACAACGGCAGCTAATAATAACTATAATAACAATAATAATAATAATGGTACTAACAGTAATAGCACAGAAAAGCCCGAAAAACCGCCATTACCGAAGCTGACACATTTCCAACAGCCACTGACACAGCAAATGCCACCACCAGAGCCACCACAATCGGCCAAACCGGTGCCCATGACCCGTACACAATTTTTCGGTTTGGATAATTTACCTTCACCGGTAGCGGATCGAAAGAGCACCGACAGCATAGGATCGCTGGTCTTTAAGCCAGATTTACCACAAAAACCAAAGATACCCAAACGCCCAATGGTGCTGGGCCTAAGCGGCGGTGGTGGCAAAAGTGATGATGAGACAACACCGACGCCAACGCAAGCCAACGAAACTGGCAACGGTGGCAGTGTTGGCGCTAACGGTGTTAACAGTGTAACTGTCGGTGGAGGCGGTATAGTGTCACGCACTACTGAGAAGTTCATAGAGAAACTACGCAGCGACAATTGTGATAACGGCACAGCGACGACAATGCGTGAAAATCAACACAATCAACGGCTACTGAGTGCGGAGCAGAATGCGAATATAAACAACGCTGCTGGCACGGGCAGCCAAAGCAACAGTAACAGCAACAGCAATCGAAACAGCATTGCCAGCGTCTACAGCTTCGGCGGCGGCGGTGGTGGCGGTCATTCGCGTTCAAATTCGAATGCGAATGCCAATACTTTTGTGCCACCACAGCTACAACAACAACAACAACAGCAAACGGAAACGACGACAGCTGCTGCGGCGTCGTTGACTGCGGCCACAGCGTCGGCGTCGGCAACATCAACAGTGAGCACGGCACAAGCGCAGACACAAACATCGGCGCCGATAACACGCAACACACCCACAACACCCGTTTCGCCGCACATGATATTGACGAAACGGCCCACGGTGCCAGCGCCACCACCGCCCTCGATGCTGAAAAAGCAATCAGATTAAGTGTGCTCATAACGACATCGCGTTGTATGCATTTGTAGTTGTTTGTAGCGCACACACGCATACTGACTCATGTGTATACACACACACACACACACACACACACATATACAAAAACGACACACGAGTAGTAAACTAAGCTGTAATAATTGTAGCAATTTGTATTATAAATAGTGCGTTGCGTTTGCTTTGGCAGTGCAAGAAATGTTGAAACTGTGTAACGTTGAAATGTGTTCGAGTACGAAAGAAACAAACAGACCTACGAGTATTTTTCTAATAAAAATTGTATTTTGGCTAAATTACATGTATGTATGTATGTATTTTTGGCAATATATTTGCAGTAAATATGCGATATTTTTTTTCGTGGACTGGCGTGTGGAAAATTTTACAATGCGCCAAAAATATTTGTTTGTGCTCACTTTCTTAAAGTTGTGTATTATTTTGTATTTTTTTCCTTCTTTTATACTTTGTTTTATTTTAATCAATTTTTTTGCTGCTAAAAAATATGCACTTAATTTATAATTATGCAATGAAAAAGTATAACTTTCCAACTCTTATTGCATGTTTACATATTTATCCAATTTTACATCAAGATTTCTTAACAAAAAATTAAGATAAAATAATTTTAAATTCTTTATAATAAAAAATGCAAATTTAACAAGAAAAATAATTGTAATTATAAACTT